TGATTTTAGGTATACCTTCCCCCCTACCCCTTCCTGGGCTTGTTAAAACTTAAGGATTTGATCCAGAGACTGTCAGTATTTTGATTATCAGAGTCAATCCAAGATATGTCAAATAGAAAACAAGCCGATGATAGGAGGGGAGGGACAGAGACAAGGGCCTGCTGACATGATTTCAGGCTCTAGATTATGTGGCTCACTTATTTCCAGAGTCACTTGGACATGCCAGTTACATGTTTCCTTAAAACATGACATAGAGGCCGGTGCCGTGGCTCACTAGGCTAATCCTCCGCCTTGCGGCGCCGGCACACCGGGTTCTAGTCCCGGTCGGGGCGCTGTTCCGGTTGCTCCTCTTCCAGGCCAGCTCTCTGCTGTGGCCCGGGAGTGCAGTAGAGGATGGCCCAAGTGCTTGGGCCCTGCACCCCATGGGAGACCAGGATAAGTACCTGGCTCCTGTCATCGGATAAGCGCGGTGCGCCGGCTGCGGCGCACCGGCCGTGGCAGCCATTGGAGGGTGAACCAACGGCAAAGGAAGACCTTTCTCTCTGTCTCTCTCTCTCACTGTCCACTCTGCCTGTCAAAAAAAAAACAAAAAAAAAAAAAACAAAAAAAAAAACACATGACATTGAAATAACAGGTGATGCAGGAGAGAGGTGTTAACAGAACCTAAGAGGACTTTCCTCAAGAGTCTGGTCCAAAGTGTTGATACTGCAAAGAGGTTGGGTAAACTAATGTTTCAACGATTGACTTACTGATTGAATAAATGCAATAAGCAGTACTTTAAGCTGAGGAATATATAGGAATCAAATGGGAAGTTGTTTAAAATAAAGATCCTCAGGCACCACTCCTGCGTGTAGGCTCAGCGGGTATTCAAAGGGGAATTGCAATCAATTGCTGGATGAGTGGTGGGTTGTCATGTATTGTGACATAAATAAGAATAAAATGAACAGCTGATGTTATGGTGGTCGCAATTTCTCTGCTAGTGGGGTGTTTTGGCAAGTTGTATGGCAAGCATCGACACTTTTTGTACTCTTCATCTAACATATTGCCAAGAATTAGAGAGGTAATTTTTCTTGTATGTAAACATATAGCTAAATGGATTATAATGTCCAGAACTAACACTTACTAAGTGACTATCATATACCACATACTATTATAAGTGGTTTATGCCTATTAACTCTTAGTCATCTCAGTTCTGTGAGGTTTATTACCCCATTTGTATTATTACCCCATTTGATAGTTAAAGAAATTAAGGTACTAGGGGATTAACTTATTCAAGGGCACACAAAAAGTGGAGACTATGAAACTTCAACTCAGGGCCCTTGATTGCTATGTTAAATGGGCTGTATTCATGGCAACATTAGAACGCAAATCATTCAGGATCCAGATGCTGGAAACACTGTTTGCTCCCCCAAAGATGATCAGAAGCTATCCCATCCTCCTTCAGAGGCTGAGGTCAGTCCTTGCAGAAAGGGATCCTCTCCAGTTGCCATGATTAGACACATCTATTTACAGACCAATATATTTCTTAATCTGGTCCAATCCTGAGCTCCCACTGTGTGCCCTCTGGAGCCTGCCCTCTGTCTTTAAGATCTCTGAACATTTCTCCTACCCTCTAACTTAAAATTTATCCTGGCTTCCACCAAGGATCCTGATTTCCCAGCTTTCCAACTTTATCCTAGCACCCCATAAACCCCAGGATGAGGTACTAGAGTAGGTGACACCTTGAGTATCACCGCCACTTCCAAAGCATTGCTTCCTCATTCTGTAAAGCCCTTTGTTTCATCCACACTCATCCATTGTGAGATTGCAAAATCTAACTCACACTATTATACTGATGTGCAAGAAATATTAAGCTTCTTTAGCAATCATCCTTCATTCACGGTCTTATCTCTTCCTGGATCATTCCTATCAGTTGACAGACTAGCCGCCATCTCCAATTATCCCTTGACTGTGACTACCTCTTTCCAGTCTTTCTTTAAAAACCCAGTCTTAAATTACTCACTACCTCTATATTCTCAATGACTTTTTTTTAAGTTTTGTAAATTATTTAGAAGTTTTTAAATACAGAAAAGTACAAAGGATAATTACAATAAGTGCCCATGTATCAACCACCCAAAATGAATAAATATTCCAACAAATGTTTTAATCTATCTTTAAAGAAATAAAATACTACAGAAAATTTACAACTATGCATTTCCTCTCTCCAGTCCATATCTTCTCCTTCCAAGAGGTCACCATAGGCATGACCATCACTATAGGTCACGGTTTATTTACCCATTTCTTCCTTTGGGTGGATATTGGATTCTTTCTCATTTTTAATTATAATATAATAATGCTTAAAAGGTATCCTTGTAACATCTCTTCCTAACCAATTACAGTTTTGGGGGCTGCATTATCCAATATGGTAACTGCTAGTCACATGTCTCTTGAGCATTTGACATGTATTGAATCTACATTAAGAAGTAAAAATTTAAAAAAACAAGTAAAAATAAAATAGTAAGTTTCAGAGACTTACTATGAGAAAAAATATAAAATATTTTACATTGAATGCAGATTGAAATGGTAATATAGTATTTTGAAAATATTACTGTATTATTTGGCCGGCGCCACGGCTCACTAGGCTAATCCTCCGCCTAGCGGCGCTGGCACACCGGGTTCTAGTCCTGGTCGGGGCGCCGGATTCTGTCCCGGTTGCCCCTCTTCCAGGCCAGCCCTCTGCTGTGGCCAGGGAGTGCAGTGGAGGATGGCCCAGGTGCTTGGGCCCTGCACCCCATGGGGGACCAGGAGAAGCACCTGGCTCCTGGCTCCTGGCTCCTGCCATCGGATCAGCGCGGTGCACCGGCCTCAGCGTGCCGGCCGCGGTGGCCATTGGAGGGTGAACCAACAGCAAAAGGAAGACCTTTCTCTCTGTCTCTCTCTCTCACTATCCACTCTGCCTGTCAATAAAAAAAAAAAAGAAAATATTACTGTATTAGTTCAGGATGCTGTAACAAAGTACCATAAACAGTAGAAATTCAGTTTTCATTGTTCTGGATGCTGGAAGTTTGAGATCAGGGTAGCAGTATAGTTGGGTTCTGATGAGGGCTATCTGCTAGACTGCAGTCTGCCAACTTCTTGTGTCTTCACCTGGCAGAGAGTGAGCTACCTCTCTGGCATCTTATAAGAGCACTCATCCCATTCACAAGAACTTCTCCTTCATGGCCTCATCACCTCATAAACACGCCACTGCACATACTGTCACATTGAGGGTCCTGCTTTCAACATATGTGTGGGGAGCAACTGAGACTGGACTAAGTTACTGGAATTAAGACTTATTCTATGCATCTGCTCTCCCACAATATGGCGCTGGGGAGGAGTAAAACTTAAACGCAGCTGCCTCTCGCCAATTTGACTGATAAGCTGCAGGAGCTGATCCTGCTCCTGATTGGAGGAGAGCAGCATGCTCGGCGTGTGGGTAGCAGAGTTGGGATTGGTGGAAGAGGACTATAAAGGAGGAGAGAGACAACATGCACCAGGAACATCTATCTGAAGGAACACCTGAGCAGCCCCCGAGAGAGCCGGCCGGCGGTGTGCTGCTCCTCCGCAGAAGCGGGGAAAGCGGCAGGGGGTGCTGCCCCTCCACGGAGGTGGAGGGGCTGGCAGCTAACCCGGGACAGCGGGGACAGCGTCGTTCCTCCTTGAGTGAGGGACCGGCAGCAAACCCGGGAAGAGCTGGGCAGAAAGAACAGTGCAGGGTCCAGTGTCGTTCCTCCGCGAATGGGGGAGCGACAATATGCATTTGCAGGAGATTCAGTCTGTAATAGTTGAATGAAGTAAAATGTGTTATTAAAATTAATTTTATCATAGTTTTACTTTTTAAATGTGGCTATTAGAAAATTTCAAATAATGTATGTGGCTCACATAATATTTATACTTAAGAATACTGACTTAGTGGATATAAATAAACATTTTCTACTTGCTTCAGTCTCACCTTTTACTTTTCTAGGTCTTGGTAAACTTTTTCTCTATGAACTCCCATGATGTTTACATCCATATGTCTCATGTGGCATTTATTTCCACTATACAACTCTGTATTTTATCTTGTTATACTACCTTTTCCCCTTTATGCGAAGGGTCATATCTTAGGACTTTGTTTCCTCAGCCCTAAACTCAACGGCCTTGCCTGTTAGAGACACTCAGTCTTGTTTAGGAGTTTAGATACTCCTGGCCTGGTGACCACTTTTATGCTATAATGTGTCCTGGAACAACTGTATCTTATTTACCTAGAATATGCCTCAAATTTCTTTTGCATCCAGGTTTCACTCTGCTCTCCAATATAGGATATAATTCGCTTGGAAATAACATCTGTCTTCACTGTGCCTCCTCCTCCATGATGAAACTGCTCTTGTCTCCCCTACAAGTTTCTCAGTTCCTCATGGGTCCTGGAGTCTGGGTAACTGGCTGAGCCAGGGCAAGTCTCACATGTATGAGGCTACATCTAAATGTAGATTTAGAAGAGTTCCTTTTCAAATGACATCACCTTCAGCTATTTCCTGAGATGCTGTGTCTAGTTCTACAAAGCATGGCATTACTATAGCTTATTGGACTAGAAGAAGCAGCAGGATCGCAAGAGGCAAAGCAATGGGTAGAGAGGAACTGAAGTTAGAAATGAATAAAATGTGAAAATCAGAGCAGCCTGTGTCAATCAGAGAATGTCCCTGTTCCTCAGGGCTGGCCCAGCTCTGCACCCTGGGGCTCCTGTTGTCACTCTGAATGAGGGAACATATTGTATAACACTACCCTCCATGTCCCTGTGCAGGATAGCTTTGTGAAATGTTAAACAGATGGTTCTATTCAGTTCTTCTGTGGGGGCAATTTACAGACTTGTAATACACAGCTGCTGAGCAGCAGGTGGGGAGAAAGATAAGCGTGTTTCATTGCCCTATTGAGGCAGTTGGGGGGTTTCCTTTGTTCTTGAGTGCCAAGAGATGAGAGAATGTTGATACAAAAAGATCTCTAAAGAACAAAAATACAGTTCAGGTCCTCGGTTCCAAGATGACAAAGAAAAGAAGGAACAACGGCCGTGCGAAAAAGGGCCGCGGCCACGTGCAGCCTATTCGCTGCACTAACTGCGCTTGCTGCGTGCCCAAGGACAAGGCCATTAAGAAGTTCGTTATCCGCAACATAGTGGAGGCCGCGGCCGTCAGGGACATATCCGAAGCGAGCGTTTTCGATGCCTATGTGCTTCCCAAGCTGTATGTGAAGCTGCATTATTGTGTGAGTTGCGCCATTCACAGCAAGGTGGTCAGAAATCGATCTCGTGAAGCCCGCAAGGACCGGACGCCACCTCCGCGATTTAGACCTGCTGGTGCTGCCCCACCGCCTCCACCAAAGCCCATGTAAGGAGTGTAATCTTTAAGGGCTGAAGAAAAGTTGTCCTCTGGAAAAATAAAGTGGAATCTATGGTTAAAAAAAAAATACAGTAGCACTGATACATAGGCTGCTTCCCTGCCTGGGGAGATCCTGTTATATCTGAAAAAATACATATAAACTGATCTCTCCACTGGGGGCTTAGAGCATATCTGTTCATTCTGCTTATTGCACAGAATCATTCCAGAGAGTGCTGAGGTCCTTAAATATCTTTGCAACCTTATGCTACTGCCTAGACAAAGAGACATAGAATGGGGTGTGCCGTTGCTATGCTGCAAATGATGGAGGTCAGGACTAAAGGAAGGATGTCTGGGGCTGAAATGCAAACAGGCTGTGTGGGCACAAACCACACTATCTAGACATTTGCACTGCTCTGATGATCAGGTCTAGAAAGGAAAACCAGGCAAATGAGCAAACAGCCATGAGGTTATATTAGAGAAGATTTGATTTGAATCTAGAGCAGTCATTCTGAAAGTCAGTATCATCAGTGGTCTTTATTATATAGATTCCTGAGTTTTGTCTCAGGCTTCCTGGATCATTCAAGAGCAAAGCTTTGGAAGTAGCAATTTAAACAATCTCCCAGGAGATGTGTAGGTAGCTATTTTAAGAGCTGGCCTTTGAAAACACTATTCCTATGGAGGGAAAGAGATCTGCTGCTCTGATTAAGGGAATTTTAAATTGAACAGCAAAAGGGAAAGTTAAAGTTAATCCCAATTTGATGATGTGGAAGAAAAGCTTGAAATCTTAGAATCCGAATAGGATTCAGCCTTTGTGGGCAGCTGGAAAACTATCGCCTTTTGTTTATGTTTGAACATATGGAGGGAGATATCACTATGCGGGCAAAAGATTAACAGGGCTCCAGGAGAAAGCAGGAAGAAACCTATCTCACTGTTAAAGCTTCTTATAAAAAACAGATACAGATGATCAATCACACCTGAAACCTGCATTTATCCTTTAAGTGTTTTATTGTACCCTTGTAACTACTAATTTACAGTCTGGTAGTTAGAAGCCTTTTATGACCTATTAAGTAGAGACACCCTGTCGAGAACTCTCTGTGACCCCAATGAGTCGTTTATGTATGTTATCTTTTGTACTTCTCTCTACCTCGGCCAGTTATATATAAATGCTGCTGGAAACTTAGAATAAACAAGCCTTGATCAGGATTTGCCTTGGCTCCATTCTTTGTGTCCTTGTCCCCATTCCCACTCTCTGTTTCAGGAAGCCTGGTTCTTTGTGCTGCAGGCCAGCACAAGTGGCGCCCGAACAGGGACCTGAGAATTAGAGAAGCAGTGAGGAAACTGAGATTCATGGAGTCACGACTATAGATATGTACAATTTGTGGGTGAGTACCCAACACCAAAATTGTGGAGGTTTTTTTGAACAGGCAATATGGGACAAGCATTAGGAAAACCGTCAATAGTAAAGGCAGTTAAGGCATTATTACAGATGCAAGGAATAAGGTTAAAAAAGAAAGCAATAGAGCAATTTATAGAAACCATAGAAACTGCATGTCCTTAATTTATTGAAGAAGGCCTTGTTGATGAGGCACATTGGGAGGAACTTGACAACAAACTTAATTTTTACAAAAACATGGACCTGATTCACTACCCTTGTTAACTTTCTCCTTATGGTTGTTAGTAAAGGATATTTTGACCCAACAAAGTGAAAGGAGCCAAGAGCCGCCATAAAAAAATGGCCTTAATAAAACAGTCCTGGGAAATGGGGAGTAAACTAAGTTCACAGAGAAAGCAGATAGCTACTACCCAGAGATAAGGGCTACTACCCAGAGATAAGGGCGACAGAACATCCTGGTATGCACCTAAGCCCCCTCCCCTGTGCTTGTTCAAGCTTAACAAAGAAACCGCGAGGCACGTAGGGCACGTAGCCATCCCTTTCTGCTCTTCAAGGACAACCTCCCCTTGTCCAAGCTTAGACACGTAGGGCACGTAGCCCCCGCCCCCGTTTCTCCTCCTCCTCGACGACCTCCTCCCCTTGTAGTTACCCAATAAACTTACGCCACCCTATGGTATGTTAATTTTGTGGTTTTGCCCCTTAAAAGCTGTGTGAGATAGCTGCTCGGGGCTCCTCTCTCTTTCTCGCTGCTTGCAGCAGCAGAGGGCCCATTTGCGCAAATGAAATAAAATTACCTCCTGCTCTATTGCATCGTCTGGTCTGGAGTCTGTGTTTCTGGGGTCGTCACAAGAGGACACCGCTTTTGGGGTCCTACAAAAGAGACAAAACCTTGCTAAAAGGAGCTCTTGGCTTCCTACATGAGAAAATTGAGAAAGCCAGAAGCAGTGATGGGGAGGATAATCAATCCTGCCGATACCCAACCCCACGGCCAGTCCTGCTAGGCCCTGGCATGTGCAGTCTTCCCTGTGAATGGGGGACCACGGTCTTTCTCTGCACTCTATTCCAGTCAATGTGGCCTGCTTCACCCATGCAGGCATAGCAAGATATCTCTTGGAAAAGAGCTCCCCAGGGCTGCTTTTTTTTCCTCTCTATTTCCAATTCAATACTGCTCCTCACTGGGAGGGGGGCAGAGGAAATGCTTTGGCTACTTCTGGCCTTTCCTAAGGGAGCAAGAACCTTAATCCATTAACCCTTTCCAACCTGATGGATGGGCTTTTCTCTTCCCAGTTAATGGAAACCTAAGCAATGGGCTCATACGCTGACGATCAGCTCTTTTCTGTGCTACTGTAGCTAACTTATCTGATGAGAGCTTTCATGTGTCTTGAAGGTTTTGCATTTTTCTATTGCCAGTAGAGAGTCTTGATTGGGAAAACTGCAGTGCGAAGTTGTTTACGTTATTTGTCTGTTTTTAATGTTTGAGTGATTACCTAACTGATCAGATCTAGCCCACAGCCTTGGTTAAAATGCTCAGGTTAAACATACTAATTTTTGGCTAAAACAGTTTGACTCTCTGACAGTTCTAAACTGAGTCTTCCAACTTCGGGGCTTCCAGTTGGATCCCTGAAACTCTCAAAGGATGAAACTCTAAATTTGTTAAAGTACAACTGTTTGAGTCAATTTAAATTATGCGAAGTGTATTAAAATGCTGTAAATGATGTCAGACCTATGTTGTATTCATGTTTTTGCTTTCCAGCTAAATGGTCTTATAAAAACTAGAGTAAATTCTGTGTATACAAGCCTTTATGTTGTTAATTAAAGTAAGATTGGTTCAGAAAATTGGGTTAATGCAAAAGCCCTTCAGTTTGCTTGGTTTGCTTGCTCAGTTTTACATGTCTTTGATATGCTTTAAACTTGTTTCTCTTAAGGATGAAGATCTTTTCAAAGTTGTAAAGATGCACTAGTGACTGTGTTTGCTGCTCAGGAGGTGTTAACCTTATGTTACTTAAAAGCATGGAAAAGTAATTTTGACTTTTAATTCAGATAATGGTGTGGTATTGAAGGGTTAAAAAGTTAAAAGCCGCTTCCCCCCCCCCCAGCCTCCTCTGGTGAACTTTCCTGACCTTGTTAGACTTGCTCTGCATAGCCATTCTCTATAAAGTTAATTGGTCAGTAAATTACCCCAATGTGAGCTTAACCTTAGTTTCACCTAAGTAAGATAGAAGAAGTCACCATATATCTCTTTGCCTCCTGGAACCCTGACCCCACCAGGTGTCCCTTATCGCCATTCGGCTGCATTCCTAGGTATCATCAAGGCAGTTCCTGCAATCTTGTGTGGCCCTCCCTTTTGGCAATAGGAGGCTTTTTGATACTCCCTGTGTTCATAAATCAACTGATTGTAAAATCACTTAACTTGTATCAATTGTTTACTCTATACCACTGTCTGCTCTACGCAATGATTGATTTTCTTTGTTTAAACGTGTATAAAAACCCCAACCCAAGACTATTCGAGGCCGCTCGCCTGTACTGGGACGGGGGCCCCGACATGTCGGAACATCAATAAACTTTACCCTTTGTTAATTACATGAGAGAAGGTCTCTTGGAGCGTTTTTGGGGTGGCAAGAGCAATTCAACTCTAATTCGACTCTAACAGTATTTGTTATATCTTAATGCTAGCCGTCACAAAGCACAGCGGACTCCGGAGTAAGGGAAAGGATTTATTGGGGAACACCCTACAGACCAGAGTGAAGGGGCGGTGAAGGAAAAAGAGAGAAGGAGACTGTAAGAGAGAGAGACAGAGGAGGGAGAAGAGAAATGAGAGGCGGAGAGAAGCCAAGAGAGGCCAAGAGAGTGCAGGAGAGAAGGGCCAAGAGCCAAGAGAGCACATGTGCAGGAACAGGCCCTTTTAAAACTTCACCTGAGGGTGGGAAGGGAAGCAGGAGCATCGAATCCCATTAGGATGGGGGTGGAGCCTGGCTCAGGTAGCTGGGCCATGCGGCCACCTGGCTAAAACTGCACCAGTTTCCTAACAGTATTCATTAATAACTCAGGGTCTTAAGTCATCTAGGTTTCAGTGCTAAGTAAAGCTTGGGAAATTGTATTATGTGTACTTTTAACATCTTAAATTCGATAAGAGACTGTTTGAGTTTGTTAGCATGTATTCTCTTTTTTTTCTTCTTTTTTTTTTTAGCATGTATTCTCATAGGTTGTCCATACATGACAATTCAAGACTATGTAAAAGTAACTATGGGTGTAAGTTTCAGAAGGTGTGAGCAAGTCATGAAAAGTTTTTAAAAGTTTATGATTTTAAAACATTGTTTACAGGGTTTTTTTTTTTTTATAAATTGAGTGTTAATGCCAAAATTATACTGACCTAAAGTTGAAGTCTGATCTTCTTTTACAACAATGGGGTTTTTAAAAAATGTGTACTAATGTTAGTAAATATCTGGAAATTGTCTCAATTGTAAATCTTAAAATCTGTTCTTGCAAAAACTGTAACATCTCTTTTTAACAATGTCTGCTTAATTGGTTACTCTGCCATTTCTAGAGTTAGGTCCTGTAAGCTCTTTTTGACTCTGTTAAATAGTTTTGAGTTATATGATAATTTCATGTGCTAATTCCTATGTCCAAGGTTTTTATTTCTGGTTTATTCGACAACAAGTAACCTAGAATTCATGTTCTGCCAAAGTACTCCACTG